TATATCAGACATATGTCTGATGATCCCATGGTCTATTTGTATATAGGTTTGAAGAACTTGTTGGGTTAACATTAAGTATGTCTTCTTGTCAACCTGTTTGCTGAATGAAAAGGGTCTTACTTAACACTATTTGTGTATGGTGAAATGTTTATAAGTTGGAATCATTTAAGGAAAGATATGTGGGCAGGTCAGGGTTGAAGAGTAAAGAATAAATTTGGAGAAGCCAACTTAATGAAAGCAAGAAAGCTTACTTCCATCACTTTTGTTTATGGCTCTACCATTAGGAGAGGTCCTGCTGTTAGCTACAGCCTTCTCCTGGGCAAGCTCTGAACTGCAGGTCCACGTGCTCCAACTCAGTCATCACTAGGATTCCAACTGTCATCCATTTTCAGGATATTCATGCTTTTATGAGTATATTATATTTCTTCCTCTTTGTTATCTTTTGAATGAATTGGAGGAGGGGAAGTATTTAATCTATTGTTGTGAAACAGTAGTCCACTGGTTCAAAACCTATAGATTATAAATGTCTAGCAGGGGTGATCTAGCAGGAAAAGCATGGGCTTTGAAATTAGGTAAATGGAGACCCTAGACCAACTCAAGACCCTAGACAGTGTTACTTAACCTTTTAGAATCTGTGTTCTAATACGTAAGTTTAGAAAAATAATCTTGTTTCACCATTTCCATACCATTTGCCCCTACACACACCTTCTTCCACCTCCACTCACCCCCCCTACTCCCTGCAGTCACCACACTGTTGTCCTTGCTCACGAGTTCTTTCTCCTTTTTAACTTTCTTGTTTGATCCCTCCACCCACCCAGTCCCCCTCTACAGCTGTCAGCCTGCTCTCCATGAGTCAAATGAACAAATTGAACAAGAAAAATAGAGATAGGCACATAGTCAGAGATCATTTTTGCTATAAGTATATCTACAGTGAACAGCTGGTCCATAAGCAAATTGTAGGAACGCAGCGTTCTGGGGATGAATGAAAGCAGAAAGTTTCAGGAGGGACTATTTGCTTATTTACTTGTTTTTCATTATAGTGTTTCTAACCAAGTTTTTCTCACATAGATTAAAAAATCTTTCTTTTAGGGTGAGTAAAGAGTCCAGTTGGGTTGTGATTTTTATATTTCCAACGTTATTTTAATTATTTCTAACGCTTTTTAGTATTTATCCTTGATTTCCACTTAATTTTTTTAATACATGTTGCTTCTTAAAACTGAGCTTGTCAAATATAGCTTTGTATAGGGTCTCTCTTCTTACCTTCACAGCATAGTCGTAAATGTATTGAAAATGGTTTTTAACTAGAAATTTTTAGTAATTTTATTGAAAATTTTGTTTTCATGACTTAATGGTCTAATGCAAATATGTTTGCTTTTGGCATTGTTTTACACTCTGATTATATGGAACAGGACATAGGCATCGGATGATAAGAAGAAAAGAGTATCTAATTGCTAAGCATAATAATAGAGCTCTAAAAAGTTGGCTTGCTTTTTAAAAATCTGACTGATATGATTTAGCTTTTAATTCTAACGAATTAGTGAAAGAGGATCAGATTATTTGGCTAGACTATTTCCTTAGCTACTGAATATTACGGTGCCAGGGCTGAAATGTCACCTCAGATAAGTATTTCAAATTAACTTAAACAATGTAATTCTTTGTGCAATAAAAATTAGCTTAAATTCCAAATGTGAAGCTTGCTATGTTTGCAAAAAAATAGCTCTGTTTCTTTGCTTAGCCCAACTGTCAAAAGAATTCACATTAAAAAATATTAGATATTAGAAATGCTAGAAACATTCAAGTTTTCAAAATATAATATTGAATTTTAAAAAAGCATATACTATAATTACCAATTATCTAACAGATTAGGAGAAAAAATTTTAGGAAAATTGTTTTGCTTGTAATTCAGATTACTTTTTATTAGATATAAAACATTAAAGAAATAATTACAATGTAGTCTGGTAAACTTGAAAAATAAATTAAAGATTTTAATATTATTTTATAAGTATTGAGGTGGGGAGCACTGGGGGGACTGGGCTGGGATGGGAGTAAAAGACAGAAAACTGTACTTGAGCAATAATTAAATAAAAAATGCTTAAAAAATAAGTATTGACCCCTTCTTAAAATACCCATTTAGAATGTTTATCAATCAACTACTTTCATTAGCTATAATAATGTATCTTTTGCTCTTATAATATGCAAACATATTCACTTATATCATCAAAAATAAAATTAGGTGTTATTGAATATACACTTGGTAATATCGACTCAACACATATGGTAAAAAATTCACTGTGTCTCTGGAGTAGAGAGCTCGATAAAGAAAATTACTATTTTCATGGAGCTTATCCTTAAGTTTAAGGAACTAAACATAATACAAGACAAAGTTTAAAAAATTAATATGGTCAAATTAAAAGGGCTTGAGACCATTATTTAATTATTGCCAAGATAATTGCAGGAAAATTCCCAGAGGATCTCACATTTAGTGAATAACAGGAGAATAATAGATGCACAGTTTCCCCAAGATAAATAACAATTATAATATCAATAAAAACTAACATATTTTGACTACATATTATGTGTTTGATGTTTTTTAAAATACACTATATGTAATATTTCAATTAACTCCTACAACAATCCTATGAGGTATTATTTGTTCCATTTTTCAGGCGAGATAATTGAAGTATTGAAACTTGAGTAGCTCACTCAAGACCACACCTGTGTAGAAGAACATAGAAAAGCAATACATAAGACTACAGAGGTCCTTAAACGCTTTTATAAGATGGTTTGATTTTCTTTCTTTTTTAAAAAAAAGTGGGGGGGATAATTGTGCAGCTCAATAATGTCACCAAAACATTCTTATTAAGTCATTACGCTTTAGATTAACTTTTACAGATACTTTCAGGCTGTACTTAACCATGAGGGATCAAATAAAGCAAAGTCCTCCAGAATTCTCAGAGGTCTCGCGGCAAAATGGGGCTCCATGTGGGAGGAGTGTCTGTGACCACTGAGTTGTCAGTTTGGTTTTCTTGAATACTGTAATGGCAACTTAAAGAAGAGAGTGATTCCAGTGAAACAAATTAAGGATGCATTGAAAATGAATGGAAATGAACAAATATAGGGGGCTCTCCTTGGAGACATTGAAATAGTATGGAAACTTGATGATGAATATCTAAACTAGTGATAATACTAGAATCCTGAGTAAATTGACGAGGCTTCCTTATTGAGGGAAGAAATGAGAAACAGAAGATGAATCTGGCTAAAGTTTAAATTTCTATAGTACTATTTAAGCAGGTATAACCTGTCTTTTGGGGGAAAATGTTCCCACAAATTTGCTTTAAGTTTTAAATTTTAAATGTGTAAGTGCTGAAGTTTTTTTATTACCTACATTTGAACCATTTAATCTCTGGCCAATCTCTGGCTAACTTATCATGATGTTCATTTTTCACAGTTTGTTCTCTAGCAGCTGTTTTGATGAGTGCTTCTTTTCTTTTTTTTTTGTATTAACCATCTGTCTTGCTTTCCCTCATCTCTGAGTGTAATTTACCTCTATTCTTTGCTCCTAAACACCAAATAATTTATTTTCTAAAAAATATTTGAAGTGTCTATTGTCTTGTTGATTCTTTTATAATTAGTTTATATTTTTCAGATTACTTCCTACTAGTTTAGAAACTCATTTCTCTCATTGTATTCAAGTTTTCCCTTAATATAATGCTTCTAAAGTTGTGATTGCTTTCCCTTTCACATACAAGTACCTAAATAGGTTGACTTTGCACACTTTTGGTATTAAGGATGTTATTTATGTTCACATCAATAACCCAAATTAGAAGGCAATAATTTTGTAGATTTAAAATGAATTCTAAATCAAAATAAGAATGCAGCCCTGGCTGGTGTAGCTCAGTGGATTCAGCACGGGCTTGTGAATCACACGATCACGGTTTGATTCCCAGTCAGGGCACACGCCTGGGTTGCAGGCCAGTTCCCCGCAAAGGACTCACGAGAGACAACCATACATTGATATTTCTCTCCTTCTCTCCTTTCCCTTCCCTCTAAAGATAAATAAAAAAAATTTTAAAGTCACTTATAAAAAAATAAGAATGCAATGGAGACTGAAAATAATACTTTGAAACATGATTATTTTAATATGTTTATGGGAAGAGTAAATTCACCAGCAGGAAAAAAAAACAAAACCAAAATTAACATTTTTCAGATATTAGTCTCAAAGCACAATACATTTTTCATAGAAACAAGTACCAGTACATTACCATTATAGGTACCATAATATGGCAACATTTATACACATAGCCATTTACCATTAAGAAAATCAGTGGCAATGGTGATGCAATACATTAGTTTATCTTTGTTAAAAGGTTTGCTATAATACTTCCTGGCCTGCAGGAGTATTTGCCAGGATACAAAAGAGGACTTGACATCAGTGTGAACAGTATGCAGAAAGCTCTGGCCGCCCATGCATACCTCTTTGCTTATTGTATAATCACTAGGAATGCCATCCTACCACCACTCTGACTTCGTTGCAGTTACTATTAAAGCCATTCCTAGAGAATCAAACTTCCTAGAGAATAGATTCATTTGGATATTAAGGAATTACTTTATACAAAATAAAAAGTATAGCATCAGGATATCCCATATACCTAAACTTAACAGAAGAGAAAAACTATACAGGTAATAGGTGAAAGACAATTTGAGATTATTTGGAGTCGATATGGCATAGTATTAAACTGGGGACAATGTAATAACATGGTTTCTTTCATTTTTACAGTTATTATTTTTGTCATTATTGTTTTTGAATATGCCAGATGATTGCCTGAGGGCCATTCACATTCAATGTTTAGATTCATTTTATTAGTGGCATATACAAAGCACCATGTGATATAACATATAAAAGGTAGAAGAGTTATGACTATGTAATTAACTGTAGAAATAACTGCTAAGAAAATATAGCAATATTTAACACAGGATTTCTAAAACCATTACATGTTCATTACTTTTTCCAAAGCTAATAATGTCCCATGTTTTATTTTACAGACTATGTCTATTAAGATTTGTATGTAGCTGGCACTTGGGGGGGGCCTTAAAATAGTTGCTATGTTCTGTACAGTATATTTTACAGTTTTATACAAACTTCAGAAATATGGCATTTGGAATAGTTTTTATGATCCTCTTCCAAGTGTTCTATTTCACACAACAGCAAATACTCTGAATGCCTTTCCTCCTGGAGGATTCTGTAAACTGCAGAAATACAAAAAGCATATCGATGTCATCTCCACGTACAATACCTCACTACGTCATGCTTTCTTATGATATTCAGGAAAGCAGCTCTGTGAATCCAGCTGGCCAATTTTCCTAGGCTACTGTAATTTCTAGTTATTGGAAAGCTTGAGTGAGGATAACAATTAATCTTTTAAATCTTGTTTGTGTGCTGAGCTGCAAGCTCACTAAAGAAACTTAAAGTGCACAGTGGTAAAATTATATTTTATATAAAACTTCACTGACCCCAGATCATGATTTCATATATCACCATCTTTGATTCTAATAGAGCATAGTTAGCAGCTGTGATTCAGTTTCGTTTGGGGCATATGGAGATGCTGCTATTCAGTACTGAGATCTAGGTTTATTGCCTAACTAACATGGTTAAAAGTTAACTGCAAGTGAAAAAAAACAATATTTTAGACTACCAACATCATTTTCTATGCCTGGCAAAATTTATGTTTTTTGCTATCATATTTACTAATATTTTTAATATCTATAGTTTCACAAAAGATCTTAAAAAATTTCATGATCAAATCTGAAAGATCCCAAGAATTTTTCCATTAAAATGAAAACACTCCTCTAAAAAGAGATGCTAAATATAAATCTCTATCTTTTATGAAGATGGCACCCACATAATTACGTGGGAGGCAAGCTAGATACCCTGCAGGGCATACTCTTTAATGTCCTTGAAAGAAATCTTACTATAATGTAAAACTTCCATTGCAATTTGAAGAACTCACTAAATATCTAAAAGCTAGGGAGTTTTCTCCATCTATACAAAATATATGAGACTTAATATGATTTCCACAAGTACCAGTGATTTGAAAAGTCACTATGGGTTCTTTTCTCTTAACTTTTATTAGTACTTGATAAAGTAAGCCAGATGTATTTTCTCAAAATATACACCAAAATATATAGTACTAATGAGACAGATAATATTGAGATAACCTGAAAGAGTTCATTTATGTCATATTAGCCACCCAAAATCCAATCAAAAAGAAACTTTGGTTCTGAGGAAAATCAGACTCATTGTTTTTGTCAAATACTTTGTCAGATAACTGGATTAGAGAATTAGTCAGTGCCTTGCTCACCTAGAAAGAATTACATGTAAAAACTTAATCTGGAAAATTCAAAAGAGGATAAAAGATATTTTTGTATTATAAGATCGATTAACAAAAGAGTGGTTCTGACTTGTAATCCGATTTTCATTTTGATTTTTATAAGCCTGCAGGAGACAGGTACCTCTGGTACTACAACCTCTACCATCCCTGGAAAACCTACTATTACAATCAGCAAGCGAAATACCGGCTCAACCACAGAACCTCAAACCCACACGGAAGTGAGTTTGTTGTAAAGCATGCATAAAAAGACAAAATATAGATATGATTTTAAATTTACCTTTCTGAGGAGACTCCATTCTGAAAAGAAGCAGTGTAAGCCTTTCTTTTGTCCACAGGCATAATGTCAACATAACCACCATGATTTCGAACCACTCCAGCGTGCACTGCCGCTCTGCAGATACTGGACAGCTGAGGGGACAAGAGCAAACCTGCCGTCAGGAAATTCCTGCTGAACTCACCCAGCTTACGCTCCTGCTTCACCAAAGTCCCTGATATGTCTCAGTGTGGATTCTCAGTGAGCAGCTACAGGATGACGTTTTGTGAATAAGGGAATGTTTCAAAAATTGCAAAGGTAAAGCCACTTCTGAGCAAGTGTGAAGGCAGAGCTTAAGGGTCGCTGCAATGCTAAGATTCCCCTTACCATCTAATCTAGCAAACAAACACACGCCGAGCCAAATAGCAGGCTTTTTCTGTTGTTGAAGCAATAAAATGCAATTGGCTCCTTTTATTATTAAGTTTCAGCCTACTGGAGTCACTCTGACCTAATGTTCACTTTTGACTTATAAACAGCTCAGACGTAGTTCTGTATATCCTTATGGTCCTTTTTCCAGAATACAGGTATATATTAAATTGGGAGTTTTCCACCCTGTTAAATAAATATAACCTCCTCAGAGAAAAATTGCTTAAAAGAATAACTCCACCTCCCAAAAAATATGAACAATCATGGCTTCCACTGGGATTTGCAATGTCTATCATCACCCTGGTTTGAATGGTCTCACACGAGGTACTGGCAAATCATGACATTGTGCCAGTTATATAATCTGAATTGAATGGGATTTCTATGGAGGAGAAAAATATTGTTTCAGGTCCAGCACTTTCAAATTTTTAAAACCACTGACTCCTAGAAGTCAACTCTTTCTTCACGGCCCATAAAAGTCTTCTCTGGATTTTAACATTTGATTTCATCTAAATGCTCTGCCAAAATTTGTCAGTAGCTGAGTACAGCCCCAGGAAATTTCATAAAATGAAATAGTAACTGTTTCAGGACCAACTGATCCACCTCATTTCCCCACGGGTCTTTTCTGACCCCACTGGTATGCTCTTTTCTTATTTCCATGCACCTGTGAGTGGCTTAATGTGCTTTTGAAAGATCACATGACCATATGCATCTCACATGACCTTGCTTTTTTTACTATGCTCTGAACCCTGTGGCATCAGTCAGTACTTATTAGATCAGAGAGCCTGAATGCCAAGCTGGTTTACCCTTTTGCCCTATTACAAAATGCCTTATATCTAAGACCTCGTATCTTTATAGTTAGGAGGCATTTTATTCACCAATTAAAGGCTCTTTCTGAATTAATGTTTGCATCCATTATGGTTCATAACAAATGGAAATAAAAATAATTCTATACACATTTCAGTATTTATCTTGCTCCATTATAAAGGCATAGTCAGCATTTTTCCCAAGGAAATAACAGTGCTTAGATATAACTTTCACTAAATTTAAGCACTTAATATGTTTTCAAACTATTGTTTTGCCGATAACTATTCTGTCAGCAGACATTCCTATTCAAGTTCAAAGGTCAGAAGAGATTTTCTGTTCATGCCTACACTTTGTAAGCATTAATATACCATGAAATAAAAGAATTCATCTGTGAAACCAGTGGAACATTTTTAAAGAATGCAGAAATTAACTTTATCTGTCACAAATGGGAAATAAAAGTTAAAGCAATAAAATTGTATACCTTGTAACTCTACAAGTAGAAAGAGAGAGAGGAAAAGAGAGTAAGGTGGGGGATGGAGGGGAGGGAGAGAAAAGGGAGGAAGTTAATGGGTTGGTTCTCATCTGTCCACATCTTCTACTTAAAAAGGTAGTAAGATTGGCAGGCAATAGTTGAATCTCTTTCTCTGCATTTACCAGTGATAGCCAACTCTATATTCCCAATTTATCTTCAAAGGGTCTACATAATAATACATAATTATCTACCCTACCATTTTACTGAAGTAAGAAGACAAAATGATCTCAGTATCAAGCTCTAACAAATCCTTCACTCTAACAAAAGATGGCTAATCAGCACAGAAGTATGTAGGATATGGTGAAAGATTTTCATCAGACATAACTAAAATTAAAAGTTTTGGTGCTTCAAGGGATAATCTGGAAAGAATGATTTCTTTGGAATTCTATGGTGATCTAGATATGCTCATCCATATACACTTATTAATGTTTTTTCCACAAATATTTATGTGCAAAATATTTGTTCGGTTCCTGATATTACTTATGCTCTAAGTTCTGTTAAGTCAGGAAGCCAACCTGTCTTGTTCCCAGCTTGCCACCCACCAAACTGTTGACGAAAAAGTGACACATGAATTGCCCACCTGCTGCCCTCAACAGACTTAAAAAGTAATGAAAGAGATGGGGAAGCAATCACAATACTTAATGGAATCAGCGAAGTGCTAACAGGAGAAAACAAAGAGCTGAATGAAAGGTAACACCATCCTTGGATTAGGAGATCTGGCAATATACTTCACAGAAAGAGTGATGTGAAGAGTGATCATGTTTTTGACCAATAGAAAAGTAGAAAAAGGATGTTTTTAAATAAAAACAATAAGCTATGAACAAATGTGAGAAATAGCAATTTAAGATACCAGCAAGATTAAGCTGCAGATCAGAACATTGCAAAGCTGGACCTTGGGAGAGAGTTAGATTTGGAGAATAGTTTCAATGGTAAGGCTGAACTGAAAGGGAACACCTGGATCTAAATGAACTTAGCAAGAGAAAAAAGGTGTCAGCATACGTATTTCAGGCCGCTCTCCACAATTGTTATATCCATAGTATTCAACTGAATATATGCATCAAGAGTATTATTATCTAACTTTGATTTTCTAACTTGCTGGTTTAGAAATCTGAAAGTTTCTAAATGTTTGCCATATAAAATATAAACTCATCAGCATGCACTATGAGTTTCCAGTGAGATGTTTCAAGAGCTGGGTCTTTCTCCTGGTCCACTAAACTGGCTGCAGGCATGTTGAGTTTGCATCCTCACCAGCTCAGAGATAGCATACTTACATGCTGTGCCCCCTTGCAGCTCAAGTGATCTCCCCTGCAGCCTCCATAGATGCCACTCACCCCCTCCCATTACAGCCCCCCCACCACACCACTACCCTGCCCCCACCATTCCACCTCTAGAATGTGCTTAATTCTCTTTAGGAGCCCATGGTTGACACCTGGCTCAAGAAGCACTAATCCATACTGAAGCTATCACAACTAATGTTCCATGTCCAGTCCCAGGAATGTCATCCATTACAACATCTTCTCAGCTGATTTCCTTTTCTATGTATTCTAATGTATTATCTGTTCATGATTTTGTGATTCTATTTTTCCCTTTTTGTTAAATTTATTGGGGTGACACTGGTTAACAAAAGTATACAGGTTTCAGCTACAAAATTCCACAACACATCATCTGTACATTGTATTGTGTGTTCACCACCCCAAGTCAAGTCTTTTATCAGCATTTATTCCCCCTTTACTCTCCTCCACGCCCCCTCCACTTGGCAGGCCCCACACTGCTGTGTTGGTGTCCATGAGTTCTTTCTCTCCTTTTTTTTTCTTTTTTTTGCTTGTGATTCTATGCTGCTTTAAAAATGCCCCTTTGGCAGTGAAGATACTGTTCATACATTTGACAAATTCTTAATTATCCAGTTTGTACTTAAAATGCTAAAGAACCAAAAGGAAGATTAAAGAAAAGCAACATGCATTTTAGTTCCCAAAATGCTTCCATACTATTAAGTGTTTGATATAAAATATATGGGTAGGGTATAAAGAAAAATTGAATCCAACTATATTATTGTGTACCCATATTTACATATGAATATTCCTTTCTGTTATTATTAATGGTTAACTCTTCTGAGAATTTGTATACCAGCACAGAATCTGTTTCCTTATTCTGTACAGTAGTCCCCCCTTATCCACATGTTCCAAGGCCCTACTGTTCCAAGGCCCCCAGTAGATGCCTGAAAGATCAGACAATACCAAATCTTGTATAATCTATATATTTCCTACATATGCACTATGATAAAGTTAACTTTACAAATGAGGCACAGTGAGAGATCCATAGCAATAATACAGTAGAACAACTATAACAATATACTGTAATGAAAGTTATGTAAATGTGGTTTCTCTCTCCCTCTTCCCTCACCTCTTCAGAATATCTTACTGTACTGTACTGTACTCATCTTTCAGTTAAAGGGAGCTGTTTATGTCTGTAAAGCGAGCTGTTTACTGTAAAGCGAGGGTGATTTGAACAGAAGCACCGCCATGACAGTTGATGTGATAATAGTGACTAATGGGAGGGCGGCATCTACAGCATGGACACGCTGGACAGAGGAATGAGTTGTGTCCAGGATGGGACAGAGCCAGACATGACAAGATTTTATCGTGCTACTCCAAATAGCGTTCAATTTGAAACTTATGAATTGTTTATTTCTGAAATTTTTCATTTAATATTTTCAGCCCATGGTTGGCTGCAGGTAACTAAAACCATGTAAAGTAAAACCCTGGATTAGCTAGGGGGCAGAGGGGCTACTGCATATAAATATACCTATACATTTAAATGCGTGTGTATGGAACCTATGGAATCTACGATACATACATATGCACGTTCACACACAAATGCTGAGAACTGCATACATTAGAATACTTACATCAGAATAAACTCGAGTCCCAATTACACGAGCGTAATGTGGATTTGCCTGCATACAGTTGCGAGGGCAGTATACTCTGAAAAATAAATATATATTTATAAATACCGAGTAGCTGGTTATTTCAACCTTTCTTATTAGTAAGACTACAGACATGTGAACACAAAAGTAAATACTCAGCATTCTAAACCTTACTAACTTTTTTCTTCTCAACTAGGTCAATTGTAAAAGGCACAGGCTGGACAGAATTTCTTCTGCTTGTACTATCCACTTCCAGCAAAAATGTGTTTCCTTTTAACCAGAAAGCTTTCTAATGTAGAGATTCAAAGCAGAAAGAGGCAGCAGAAAGTATTCTGAGTATCTGGGTATTTACCTCTCAGTCAGAGGTAATCTCTGGTGAGAGGTCACCTCTCTGCCAGGTATTACAGTCACATTGGTCTGATGGTTACGCCTCAGGGTCTTTACACTTATCCTTCTCTCTGCACAGAATGTTGTTTCTCCAGTTATTCTACAGCCTGCTTTACTGATAACTGATTGGCTTCGTCACTTTTAAAAAGGGCCCAGAGCCTTTTTATTTAAACATAGGGTCCAATTATCAGTGTTTAGTCAATTACATGATATTAAAAAAAATCACTCCCAGAGTTTAAAAAACTTTCAAGTGGCACTTTCTTTTTTTAGTTGATTGGGTCTTCTGAGTTTACTTTCACTTCCCTTCCTTTCTTTCTCTCACTCTGTCTCTCTTTCATACAAAAAAGCTGGAAAAAACACTTTACATATCAGCAAAATGACTAAAACCATTCTTTGATGAAGACATTGATGATTTTCCAAAAACTATTCTAAAAAATCCAATGCTGCTACCTTTTCTAATTGAAGCATTTTAGAAATAATTACATTTCTTATTTAAAATTATTTATTTTTTAATTTTAATTGTTCCAGTACAGTTTTCTGCCTTTTAATTCCATCCCAGTCCTCCCCACCTCCCTCCCATTTCCACCCCCTTTGTTTTTGTCCATGTGTCCGTTATGCTTATTCCTGCAAACCCTTCCCTTTTTTCCCTGAAATTCCCTTCCCTCTTCCTTCTGATCAGTCAGTTCTTTATTTCAGTGTGTTTGGTTATATTTTGCTTGTTTGTTTTGTTAAAAAAATTCTTATTTCTAAAACGTATAACACTGTACAATCTAGAGTGAATATACTTTCTATAAATCTAAACCAGAACCATTTACCTATAAGTAATAAATAAGTTTGAGTTTTTGTAAGTTTGAACTAAAGGTTTGATTTGTGTAAGGATACTATTGGGTGTCCCTGTAGGATGAAGGGTGTCCCCACTGACTGTAAAATTTTCTCATATTTAAGAACTGTTGGGTGTTCAGTGACCACCTTATGGTTGTAAAACTATCTGCTCTTCTCTTAGGATCATGCTGTGTGGGATCTACCTTGACCTTATTTAGTTCTTGGTTTATGGAACGTCAAGGTCAATAGCTCCAAACTGGATTAGTTTTTACTTTTGTGATTTCTAATCAAAGAAATAGGGGAGGAAGTTCTTGCTTGTTTGTGTTCTAATCTGCGATTTTAACACCTTGATGCTACTTAGAATGTAGATAATGATCAAGTAAAAATGTTCCTTTATCTACAAATTACTTGTAAGTTTTAAATGAACATGCTGACAAATTTTAATAACTGATTTTACATCATGAACATGCAACAGGTTTTAAAAATCTAATTGTGTATGTGTATATATATATATATATATATATGTATATACATCTATACATATATATATATGGATAAGATTGCCAATGACACACACACAAGCACACACATTTTCTCCAAGGTCATGGTACTAAATATGAGAGACAGTTTATTTTGGGCTGATCTGCTAGCTATAGAACCTCTCAAGGACATGTTGTCCAGGTAAATCTTGTTTCTTTGTGCTCAATTTTAGTTAATATCCTTTAATTTATCTTTTCTTGGCATTTTCCCCCTAAATAGATTTATTCTTCAACTCATTAAGTGCTGTAAAATTCTAAAACAAATGCGCCATCAATATGATTCCTTAAAAGTCATAAAATGTCACACAAATAATACCATTATAAACTAATTTGTGAAACTATTAAAAATTTAGATGGGGGGAAGAAAACTTTTGTTTCACTGGGAGGGGGGAGCTTTCCAGTCTAATTAAGGTCAAAATTATGGATAAATCATTATTTCTGCAGATTTATTAAATTGGTGACAGTGAAAGTTAATTTTTAAAAAATTATATCATTTCCCTTATGGAAAGTAGGTCCTTATATTTCTCTTCCTGAAATAAGGAAATAAATAGAAAACTTATTTATTAATATTTTACTTGAACAATCTGTTCCTTTTGAAACACAATTGCCATTATTGCATAGATATGTTCCAGGGTGATTCTTACTATTTAGTCCTCATAAACCTTGTCACATGATTGAGATAGAGTCTAGCATAATACTGGAATGTAGTAGATACTTAATGAACATATAAATGAAAATTTCTTTTGCTTTTTTTTCATTGTATCACAATGCTGAAATTTCCAGGGTTCACTTATCAATGTTTTTTTCTCTATAAAAATACAATCTGTAAATATAGGGGTTTGAGATACCTGAAAATTTTTCCACAAAATTTGCTAAGATTATAAAACACACCACGAGTTTAATTAAATTTGTAAACCTAGTAAGAGCATAGTGAGTGAAGCTCTGGGAAGAGATTATACTTCTATAACAAAGATATTTGGTCTGTGCTTATAGCAGCCCGAGCAGATGAACTCAGAACTTTCACAGCCTATACGAACATACAGATTATAGGCATGAGCCCAGCCACCTCAGAGCAGCAGAAGGTACTTGGCGTGTGGAGAAAGAACACTAAGCATGCCGGGACTGCATGGAGCTTGTGACGGCCCATGACTCCCTGCTGCTTAACAGTTTGAGATCACACCCCTTTGAGCCCTAGAGACACCAGAATTTCAGTTAGAACCAATTACAACAGGACGAGAGCACCATGTGTGTTCACAGGTAAAAGACAATGGGGACATTCAGAAACATTACCTTGGGCAGTGTGAAGCAGGCTTATGGAACGGGCAGAGCTGCTCCACTGTTGTCTCACAGGTGACAGCCTGAACTGCAGAATTCAAGCACAAAACAAGGAGCAAATTCTTTGGAAACAGTAACATGCAACACAGGAGTAAGAAAGTAAGATGAAAAAAAGTGCTAACCTGTTACTTTAGAGACGGTGAAGGAATTAGCAGAATGATATTTGCTGAGGATGAGAATAAAAAATGTCAATCACTTTTTTATAAGTATCACCATCTACATAACTTCTACATAACATCACAGGACCAGATGATTTACTTTTTCACAGTAGTAAATACAAGGTACTATTGTAAAAATACTAAATAATAAGTACCTTATAGTAGTGTGCATTATTTAATTCCCCTAGTAGGCAGTAAAATGTCTACAATGAATGAGTGAACTCTTCATTACATGCATTAGTAAAAACTAGGAAAATAAGAATAGGTATACCATTAAATATCAAAAATTTCACTGGTTTATCTATATCCAGATTTTCAGAAATCATCTGTTGCACAAGATAAGGATTATTTGTGGTGGTACTTTAATATTATACACATTTCTAATTTCAAGAGAATTTACATAATGAACATAATAAAAAAGTAAGTTAAGTGAAAAAAATGAGATAAATGTTTTCACCAAAATCCAGTATTTGGCTTACTGAAACTGATCATTAATATTTATTATCTATTCAAGGAAGTTAATAAATATTTGCTGAATGAATAAGTTAATAAATGTTCCTATGAAGCTTTTGAGAATGATGGCTAATGATTGAAAACTATACATCAAGCCTTTCATCAAAATTGTATGTAAGGGAGATCATTCCACAAATTTGGAATAATTTTTAATAAATTCTTATAATTATGAGTTCTGGCTTTACTGTGAATTTTCATGTAATTATATATTTACTGAAGAAAGAAACTATGTTCTAAGAAAAGGCATTCCCTATGCAGTTCAGTAATTTTTTCACAGAAGAGACACTACAAAATATTTCCAAAACCCTAATTTTTCTACTTTTTATAGAGTATATATAAAACATATACTCTATAAAATATCTAGTATATTTAACGTGAGAAACATTTTAAAGGCAATCAATGCTTTCATGTTGGATTCAATTACATTTAAATGAACAAAAGAAATCTGATGTATTACATACTTATCAGCTTTTCAAAATGCTCTTTTACTCTCTAATCTAAGTTTATTAACAAAGTTACTGTTGCAGGAAATAACCTATTCTCCCTTATTAGGGCAGGGAGGATATGCAAATCAGTTTTCCTTGCAGTATTTTCTGTTGCAGTAGAAAAGTTTATTGGCTCCCATTGGAAATAACTGTAAGTTTGTACATTCTTGAGGAAACTCTAAAAAAATTGGAGTTTCAGCAAGCTGTTTAAAAGCAAAAGGGTTCAACTTTAATTTAGATGATTTTTCTTCTTTTGCCTATGGAAATCTTGCAGCCAAAATGAACCTCAAAAATTACCACCTTCTCTCTTCATAAATTCTATGCTTTGCCCCAATAGAATCTACCCCATTGTTACCATTTGAAATCACCTTGTCCAAAAGAGCATTTGGGTACTTACCCAATTGTTTGAACACCATTTCTGTTGGATTTGATGAAATAATGTTTTCTTCCTTGTCTGGTGATATCTACCCAACCACCATCATTGTCCACTATACCATAATGAATTGCAGCTCTACAAATACTGGATTGCTTAGTGAAAAAGAGGGAGGAAAAGATATTAAAATATTAGAGTTCACATAAAATACAACTAGTTTCTATTTATATGACTTTAAATTAGACAAACTTTTATGAGCAAAATACCTATACTTAAATTATTTTTCAAATTAAAAAAAAATCAAGGATTATATGAAATAACTCTACCCCTAATCAATTGTATTTACAATACTTACCATTTCATAATATACACTGCCAATAACTTTAGCTTTACTATCCAAACAGCCAGCAGGGCATTCATATCTAAGTGAAAGAAAATGGGGACATTCTCTGAATGTCAGTATACACTGAAAATATTTCTTACATTTTGTCAGTTAATTTTGAGAATAATAATAGATATTACCGATTGCAAGTTGTTCCTTTGCACTGATCTCTTAATCTTACTTCACAGGAAACAATTTGGGCTAAAAGAAAACAAATTAACTTAGAGAATGTAAAAGCTGCTCTAATTCTTCACATTCAGTCTAGTGCCAGGCTTTTACCGATCTAAAACTATGAAAGGTAATAAAATATCAATGGATATGCCACCTCTGTAAGCCTTAGCATTTTCGTAAATAATGCAGACATCTTACACATTTGTTGAGTGCTTATGACTTCATTTGTATTAGTATCATCTGCTCTCGTCCGAACATGGGTGTCGTGGACTTCTGACTGCTGCCGTTCGATTTCATTGGTTTCTTCTTCTCGAGGAGTGTAGTACCTGTCTGATCCTTCTGTTAGACAGAACGGGGTTAAGAAATATGAATCCCATTTAAATGTGCACGAATTACCAAATAGTGCTAAATCTTTACATGCCTGTTTAACACTTAAAAATAGAAAAATCAAAATTGTTTTTGGCACCAGTTTTGATTTAAGGAAGTGCTCTTAATGCACTACATTGGAGTAAGTGAAACACACATAAAAGCCTTGAATCCTTGATTTATTGATGCTACTTTTTGGCCAATGTTAAATGGAGTCATTTCTAAACTTTGCTTATATTTAAACATGTAATCAGTGATTGGTTTTCATAATAACAACATGATGTCTACACAGTGATCTAATCAAGTCAGGATTTAGTGAATTTGAATTTGTTTTCCCAAATTAAATCATATCATTAATATTTGGGGGGGAATCACATTTAAAATTCTCCTGTAAGGAAATTTGGCCTAAAGAAGGGTTGATATGCCCTTGTTATTTATTACAGTATTGGTTTTCCTGAAAATGTTCTTCCCTTTCAGAAGGAAATTTAATGCTCAGAAATTTAAACTTGACAATGAAAACTAATGTCAGACTTTGAATTTAATATTTTTCTAGTTGGATTATATCAAGGATTTGACACTGGCACATTTTGGGTGGTTATTTTCATATTTGTCTAAGGATGCAGAACCTAGAGAAAGAAAGTCAAATACAGTCAGGCTTAAGTAAAACGCAGGGGCTAGTGGTGAAGAGGCAAACAAGTTGGAGGTTTGGGAGTAAAGAGGACAGAAACAGACAGAATGACACACAATGAAAAATGCTTCCAGGAATTAGAAGTGGCTCATGTAAGAGAGTGAAATATATCACAGACAAGATCACTTCTTGTCTTAATGAGCACTGAGTCACTAAAGGGAGATACAAAGGCCCATTCCCTTATGAGTCCTGAAAAGGGAATGCATGTATTCATAGATTTTTCTAATACACTTAGTCTGCATTAATCTTCACTTAGATATCATTAACAAAAAAGCATAAGAAAGTAAAAAATGCTCATATGGATGGATACCCACCAAAAGCTTGATGACTTTCACAAAGCTCTGTCATATACATTTTATCTTCCTACTATATAAGTAGGACACCATATTTGTATCTACCTTTAAGACATCAAATATGTTTGAGAGCACTATTTTTACAATAGTTTTACAACACTATTATACTTTTTTATTATTGTAGCATGAAATATTGTATACCCTACAGTGAGAAGCAGGAAATCAGTACAATTCATTCAGCATGGTTCAAGTAAGAATTATAATATTTGGGGGAAAACTTTTAAAGTACTAAAAATAAATTGTGTCAAATTGTTAACTCCTTCAAAAATGATTAGTTTTAGAAATGACTCCAATCAACAATATATGAAGATGGCTTTTAAGAAGGTAAATATAGCTATCACTTTGGGATACATTTCAACTACAGTTAGAAGTTACCTGGAATAATCATGAAATTTTCCTTTAAATACATATTGGTCCAAAAGGTATTAATATTATAAATATATTTGGAAATATTCTAAATGGTTTCTTCAGAATATTTAAAATACAGCTCTAGAAACTTTTCAGGTAATTAAATACAGATTCATTTTTTTAAGAGAACTTAATGTGTGAATTAGATTAAAATATCAATCAAACTAAATAGCCTTGCACAAGAGCACATACCTTTGTAGCACAGATTTTCTCTACAGCCCCCTCCAAAACTGGGTGGACAAGCGGAACAGGGTCGTCCGTGTTTGTAGGGAGCGTGGCCCCACCAGTTCCCCCTGAAAATAAAAACAGTACTCTTTTAAGAGGTAATCTAATAGCATCATTTATAAGACATTGCAAACTATTACTGTATAAGAACCTCCTAGCCCTGGCTGGTGTAGCTCAGTGGATTGAGCATGGGCCTGTGAACCAGAGGATCACGGTTCGATTCCCAGTCAGGGCACATGCCTGGGTTGCAGGCAGGTTCCCTGCAGGCCAGTTCCCTGCAGGGGATGCACTAGAGGCAACCATACATTGATATTTCTCTCCCTCTCTCCTTCCCTTCCCCTCTAAAGATAAATAAATAACTCTTTAAAAAAAAAGAACCTCCTAAGTGATGATTTTGAGGTGCAGATTTAAGACATTTATATCTTTTATCTTTTGTTTACTAGGTTTTAGTATAAAATGTTGCCTCATTCTTTTGAAATATACTAATTTGTTATGCATATCGTTAAAAATTATCAGACCAAACTTTTGCAGAACACCAAACTCTGTTTTGGGATATTCATCCAGACCTGATTTGTTTTAATAAGAACGGATTTTAGACTTAGCTTTGACCCTACATATGATTTCATAATATTTTCAATGTATTAATTTGAATGGACTTTACATAGGTAAATGCATTTCTCAGTTAATCTGTAGTTGTGTGTATCTAGTAAATCAAAATTATTGGATATTTACATAATATAATAGTTCATTGGGCAAAACTGAAGGCATAAATATTATTATCCCTGTCTTTATATAAATCATATTTTCAACTTTTAATTCCTTTTAAGTACTGATTTTATGCATCTAGAAATCATAATTATTGTCATATTAAGAAAGATAGGTCAAAACAATATACTTCATTAAAAAATGCAGACTAAAAATTAGAAATGTTAAGTAATTTTTATATTATTAAGAAAAATTTACATATGAAAGTAGTGTTTTGTGCACTTACTTTGGGGAATAATTACACACCAAGTAGATAGCCTTGGGCCATATCTGCCCCCAGATGTTCATGTTATGACACAAATTAATGGCACAACCTATTCTGCTACTTGTTGCCCACACAACCTACATTAGAGAAAAGAAAGGCTCAAAAAACAGAATTTGAGATGAAGACACAACATATCAAAGAGAAAAATATATAAACAAAACAAGTTAAGGAATAAACATTTGTCATTCAAAATGAAATGAAGCAATGTCAAAGATATTTTTCCTGAGGCTTTGAGAAGTGCTTAATTCAATTAAAATAATAGATCTACAGCTCAATAACTCAATCTGACTATAAAATGTAAGCATCTTCAAAATACAGATTTATTCAATAATTCAAAGTTATCTCCTCACAAACCTAAATTCTCTATTAATATTTCCATGACAAAATGTGCCTAACAAAAGAATAGAATTTCTCATCTTAAACAACTGAACCTAAAAAAAATTACAAACAAAAGCAAACTAAGCAAACAACTAGAACAGCAACAGAATTGAAGAAATGGAGATCACATGGAGGGTTATCAGTGGGGGAGGAGGAGAGCGGGGGAAAAGGTACAGAGAAGAGTAGCGTAAATGGTAGATAGAAAATAGACAGAGGGATGGTGTTAATATAGGAAATGTAGAAGCTAAAGAAATTATATGTATGACCCATGGACATGTACTAAAGTGAGGGTATGTGGGTGGGAGGGGGTGTGCAGGGCAGGGTGGAGAATCCAGGGGGAAAAACGGGACAACTGTAACAGCATAATCAATAAAACATATTTTAAAATAATGAGAAGTGCTTTTTTTGCACACATGTAAATACCAAATATGACTGGTAAATAAAACGATATTTTCAGTTTTTGAAAATAAAAAATAGTGATACCTGATTTTGAAGATAGTGCATTTCTCTCCACATGCATTTATTGGGACCATATTAAAAGTGTTTCATAGGTAAAATCATTGCAATAATGTCTTTTTAAGTATATGTTTGGACATTTTTTTCTGATCGTTACTTTTATTGTTTACTGAAATTTCTACGCTCATTCTACAAAGATCAACAATTAAATAATTAGTAAGCATAGCAAAGGACATAAGAAAGACACAAGTTCAGTAGGCCAAGTTCCCCCTTAGTTATACAAAGTCAACTTAGGGAAATGAAATATAATAAACCCCAAACATACCTGTGTATAATGAGTGCATACAGGACCAGAACATCTGAATGGGCAATACGGGTTGCATTCGTGGTCATATGGGTAGCTAAAGTCCCTTACTTCATCATACCATGCTTGTACGTGAAATGTCGGGGGCCTATACCTGTTGGGAATAAAATAACCACAAGGAGCAAGTAAAATTGGAGAAGATTTAAAACCAAATATTGCAAATAGATTGATAAAGAAGGAGAGAGATATTTTTGTCTAAGTTACTAATCTTAAATAGTCATGCCCATTGTATTACTATTATAGTAGTAATGTAAAACAAAAATAAGTCTAATGCTGCTTATCATTCTTGCATATGTATTTTTTATTATTCATATTGTTGTGATTGCTTGTTTTCCTTTCAGGTACTAAGCCCTTGAAAATGAGCAACATGAGTAAATAAGCATTTCATTTCAAACATGTTTTCAGAAACAAAATGTTACATTTTAAGCTACCTTCCCCAATGTGCTCCCAAATTCTGTCCTATTGATGGAAGCAAACTTGCAGGCCCATGTTCCCACAAACAGGTTTCGGCCCAGGACTCTGCCGATCTCTCCAGCTCGACATCCCATGTCTATAGTTTAAAACAAAAACAATATATAGATATAAACGTTTAATGTACGTGTATAGGTTGGACATTTCTTCAAAATACAGTGCTTCTCAGTTCCTATCTTTTTCTCCCTCCTTACCTATTTATAAAGTGAACATCTTAGTCTGGGTTCTCACCATCTCTCGCCAAGATTTTTAGACTTAGCCTCCTACTTAATCTCTTTGCTTCATCTCTCATCCCTTCCAATCTGCTCTAACACATGTTTGGAATTGTCTGAGTGAACACAAACACACTTAAGTGACTCTTCCGTCTGAATACACGCAACAAATCCCTGTACATGTGAATTCCAGGATCCGTAAACCCACTGTTCCCTGTCACAAACCCTGCTATTTCCTGTTCTCAGTGGCATTGTTTCCTTTGCCTAAAACAACTTCCCCGTTATTTGTCAAACAGACCTCTACTCTTCCTTCACAATCCAGCTTTCTGTGACACATTCTTGAGACATTTTCAATTCTCTCAAATGCCAACTATTCCCTTCCTGGGGCTCCTGAAGCTTCGTTATACTCCTTTGTTTAGTAACGATTACACTGCAATGTTAGTATTTGTGCATATGTTTCTCTCTTCTTGAGCTGTGAGTTGCTTCAAGAAGTTACTTAAGTCATGCTGGTGTCTTTGTCCATTTTCTGTGTCATATGGACAAGTTGGTTAATAAATGTTGAATGCATGAATGATTAATGAGTCTGAATCTTGTAAAATATATATGCATTTTCTATACAAAAGTCAATGAAGGTGATTAAGCTACACTTTAAATAATTTGCAAAGGAATATTTAAAATTATAAATTATTACTGGAATGATTTTTGCCTGCCTTGGGTTTAATATTTAATTTGTTAATTTGATAAAGAGACAGTGTATTGAGTGTGGTGGCAAAAACACAGGTAGAACGGGGTTCTGTCTCTGCACAATACCAGGTGTTGGGCACGTAAAGAGGAAAGGAAAAGAGTCCTGGAACAAGAACATGTGAACACAACCTCAGATGACAGCAAGGAGATGGACAGGCAGACAGACTAAACTGATGTTTAGGAATTTAAAATCCTAGAACTTGATGAACGACAGAACTTGCTAGATGATGAGGGGGAATGAAGTGTAGACTTATGAGGTTACCAAGTGGAGAAAAAGAGAATACATTAAGAGAAATAGGTTGTGGTAGTGGAAATGTATGTCTATTTCTATGCACATTTTAAGGGTGAGGGGTGAAGTGTCTGTGCTACATGCACTATACATATCACATAGAGAGTAGAAACATACTACTGGGTTTGGGAATTAAAATATTCTCAGAACATACAAATTTTAAAGTTATTCATTCAGAGATAAGTTTCTTCAGGAAGATGATATAGAATGAGAAAAGAAAAGAAAATTCTGGAATTTCCAAATTGAAGGGGAGTAAAAACAATGAGTTAGTAAAATAAAGTAGGAAAAATGGGATCAGAAAAGTTTGGGGAAAACTGAAAAAGGATTAAATTATAGAAGTGAAGGGAAAGGAGATTCCAGAAAAAGTTAGTCTCAGGGTCAGTGCCAGAGAGGGGTCAAGAAACATGAGGTCTGCCAAGTACTAATCCATGATTAAGAGCAACTTCCCCTTCATGCTAAATAGGGAAACAGGAACACAGAGGGTTAAAAGAACAAGAAAGAGAAAGTGGGGAAAGCAAGTGTGGTGTGTTTGTTAATAATATTTTAGAGAAAAAGAAAGGAGAGGGGGCAGAAGCTGAAAAAGATAAGATGCCAGGTTTAGGGAGAATGTGTTTCCTGGCTTTCAATTTTAGAGGATGGCAGAAGCCTAGTGATGACTAAGCTGAAAGGAAAAGACACTCGAGAGAGAAAGAAAGAATGTGTGGAAGTTTTTTCATTCACTCATACAAATTTGTATGAACACTCCTACTCATTCAATTGTGAATCTGAAATATATAAATTTATGTTTTTAAAGCCAAAATTAGAATAAGGATATTTTTTAATACCGTACACCTTATTATCTAGCAAAAATACAAAAATATATATTTACATGTAACTAAAAAGTTAAGAGCAGCGAAATGCAAATATTCATAAAAGCTTTAATTTTACTTTGAATTAATATCAAATATTCAAGATGAAGGCTTTGTGATATAAGCAGTTCTTTATTTTCCAACCATGGGCATATTATTTCTTAAATTCATTATATATAATTAAATACTTTATGTAGTTATACAAAGATATAATTCAAGTTGCAGTCATTATTACCCAAATATATTAGTTAAGAAAAAAAAGAATTTAGCTATATAATCCCAGAAAGTGAGCAAGATGTTGATTTCCTGTTGTATCCAGTAGGCTGTAGAGAGACTCATCCCTCAAAAGTAAGCAAGTTTCCAGGTAAAATTTTCTGAAAAGTAGTCTATCATTAAGAGAGAAACAAATTCTTGTATTAAATCTTGGAAATCAGGTTCTTGTATAGTACTTTGGTTATAGGTACAGTGAAACTACTCTTATCCATGGGCTTCTAATCTAGCAACTGCATATTCAAAGAGCAGCCAAGAACAAGAAAAACAAACAGTTCCTAGATGGCTTTAAGAAAATGCCTTGAGAGCACTGTGACGATCTTCAAGCACAAAAGGTGGAGCTGAATCACCTCCCCTTCCTTTCAACTTGAGCTGGACAGTGACTACCTTGTACTGAATAGACGGACACTGAGAGGCTTCTCAGGCTGGATTAGAAAACACAGCCTCTATCTGTCTGGTTCTTCCTCTTTTAAGACACATATCTTGGCAAAATGGAGCCAAAAAATTAGGAGCCCAGCTGCCCTGCAGAAGTGTCTGGAAAGATCACGTGGAGAGACCACCCAGAGACAGAGAGATGCAGGAGGAGTCCCTTGTTTGTGTTTGCCCAGCCCAGGCATGAGACCTCTAGTGAGCAGGCCCAGCTCACTGCAAACATGCGAAAGACCCAGTGAGAACCACCCAGCTGAGACCGGGGAAGAAAACTTAAGACCCGTATTCAAACTCACTTTATTCTTTTCTATACATGATGCTACAAACTTAGATGTCAGTTTTTCCTATGAAGTTGAAGATGGATCCTTTTTGGAGAGGATATGCATTCGGCTAGTCCCAAATTCACAAAACATGTTATATTTAAAAATGTGTTTACATATCTGCTGTATAGAAATTAAAATAAAATCTAAAACATTATTGAAATCCTTTAGGCTAAGTTTTCTTACCTGTAAAATGTATCAGTTAAAATAGTAGATAACTCAGGCCCCTTTGAGGACTAAAATTCAATACTTACATATTGTACATAAGCTGTTTTTATGGCATAACAAGTTTTACAACTAACCCATTAGAAACAAGGAGGAAAATACATCAAATGAACTATAATAAGGCTAAAACAGGGGCATACGTTAATGGAAGTACTGAGGCAGGGAAGACTATAACTAGAATTTACTATCAATATTTAATAAATATACATTGGTGGCAATTTTAAAAGTAGTTATCTACTTAAAGTCTAATTAAGTATACGTGCTTAGGTCAATTTTAAGACTACAAATTAAGAAGTTCCTTTAAAAAACATACTAAAAGTATAACTGTCCTAGAAAAAATATCACCATAACATGACTGCATGGAATGTATATTTTATGCTACAACATTATATTTCAGGTTTTAAGACCACTAGTAATTCATACCAATCCCATTTAAATGTAGGTTAGTCTCTATACATTTCTATTTAAATTCAGGTTTGTAAATTAAATCAAGATGGCCTGAAGGGCTTCTTTTTATCCACTCTGAACTGTTCACCCAGCAGCAATTTAAAGCCAAACCACAGTTAAAATTGTCATTGCTTCTTAAGACGGATCCTTGAGGTGCATCGAAATAAAAAGTACTCTATTTTCCACCTACATCCTAAGATGTTCCTTCTTAGAGCACAGTAAAGCATTCAATGAAGTTGTATTACTGAAATAAACAGAAAGTGATTGACATTCTTTGTCTTCAATGATATTTTTAAGCCAGTTCCACATGGAGGCTCTGTCATTGTGTGTGTGTGTGTGTGTGTGTATGTGTATAAGAATTCTTAAATATTACCAAGGAACTTTCAAAAGTAAATCTGGAAATATACAGTAATTTTAGTACTGAAATATGATACGTATGGAAATTGTAAATTGTGTAGTTATCTAGAAATGTACAGACAATTCCACTGACTGCTATACTTTGGAAAGTGTGAATGAGTATGTACAGTTCTTATTCCTATCCAAATACCTGCTATATTGTTTTAATTAATAACAGACAATCTGTCATGGCTGGAAATCACTCAACAATGTAGTTTGAAAGAGAATTAATATGAAAAGGGACTGAAATAAAAATGGAATTTACTTGATAAAAATTGTGTATTAACCCATATCCTTACGCTTTTAAACTCCCTCTCCATCTGATGCAATACACCTATCCAGAGGTTTGTCCACTGCTCAAAACAGTTTTTGAACTCATTGATTTTGATGCCTTTAGTGCTCTTGCCATTTTTCGTTTTACCTCTTCCACACTGTCAAAATGTTTCCCTTTAAGGACTTTTTTCATTCAGGGAAACAAAAATAAGTCTCTCTGAGGGTGATATCAGGTGGACAGGGAGTGTGGGATGTGGGGAAATACCATTTTTGGTCAAAAACTGTTGAACACTAAGCATAGTGTGGGCAGATGCACTCATAACTCATCCATCATGAAATAGGCAAATGTGCTGAGTCTTCAAAAAAAATTCACTGAAGCTGAACACAGCCTCTCACAGAACACCAGCTGGTACACTGATACAGATGCGTTCCTAGAACCCTCACCTGTTAGGGGAAGCCTGGACTACAAGGGGCCCACCCTCCAAAAGACAATTCCATTTTCGCCCCTCCCCCACACTGCCGGTTTACTAGTACAGTACGTAAAACCAGTCCTCTGCTTGGGGCGATGGGAGCGCTATGCAGTGTGGAGGTGATGTTTTATTGAGTTGCATACTTGAAACCTGTAC